CTTCAATTTGAATATTTTTTCTTCAATTAGATTTCTTTCCAATTTGTTGAAACATGCTTTTGTTTTTTTTTTTTTAATTAACGGTATGTTGACGAGATAGGCAAAAAAAGAGTTTAAGGATTATTATGTTGCTTCTTATACCGAAAAGGATTAATAGAAGACGTATTGGAAGAAGACCGGATACGGATTCGGCTCTTGAAGGACATGCATATATGCTAGAGATCCTTCATGGAAATCCAACTCATTGTCAAGAAATGTTGAGAATGAAAAAAGAAGCATTCTTAAATTTATGTGATTATTTCACACAAAAAGGATGGTTGAGAGATAGTCATTATATTAAGGTTGAAGAAAAAATGGCAATGTTTTTGATAACTTTAAGTCAAAATTTTCGAAATCGTGCTCGTGAAACGAAGATTTAATCATTCAACTCAAACGAGTGCATCACTATTTTCATGAAGTGTCGCAAGCAATGTTGAAGTTTGCAAGAGAAATGGTTGTACCTACTTCATTTTACCCGGATTTAAGTCAAGTTCAACATCATCGTCGACTTCGTCAAGTATTTCGGGTTATACATTTCACTTTTTATTTCTAATTTTATTGGTTTTTGTATTTCAAAATTAATAATTTTTTAATTTGTTTATAGGGTGCTTGTAGGTGCCCTTGATGGGACTTTAATTCGTGTTGTTATATCACCCGATCAACAAGTCCCATATAGAGGGAGAGGACGAGGAGATTGCTATCAAAATGGTCTTGCAATATGTGATTTTGATATGATTTTTACTTTTGTTTGGGCTGGATGGGAAGGTGTAGCACATGATTCAAGAGTATTAACGAAACTATGCACGACTCATCAAATAATTTTCCCATCCCTCCACTCGGTAGGTTGTTTCCATTCTTATTAAATTCTTTTTTATAGAAAATTTCCCTTAAGATACGTTATTTCTAGGCGTACTATGTTAATAATTTTTACATTTTTTATGTAATTTATTAGATTAATATTTGATGACGGATAAATATTATCTTTGTGATGCTGCATATGCGCATACTAAAGGGTTTATGGCACCATATCGTAATACACGATATTGGTTATCCAATTTTTGTAATGGTTGTCATCCAAGATCAAAAGAAGAAGCATTTAATCATGCACATGCAAAATTGAGGAATGTTATTGAACGAGCATTTGGTGTTCTAAAAGCAAGATTTTCAATTCTAAAGACAATGGCTCCATATCCATTTGTAGTTCAAAGAGATATTGTTGTTGCATGTGTTGCAATACATAATTATCTTCGAAGAACAATTGTTATCGACAATTTTTTTGAACAATTTGATGGCGATGATGTGATGCATCAAACACAAAATATCGTTGTAAATTTACCATTCATCGAAGGAGGGGCGCAAGCACGAGCTGATCAAACATTCATGATTAATTTGCGAGATCAAATTGCAAATGAATTGATTAATAATTGAGATTTATTTATTTTATGCATGATATGACAATTACTCGTTATCTTAAATTGTGTTTAATTTTTTTTATTAATAATCACTTTTATTGAATTTTTATTTATTTATTTATCTATTTATACACACAAATTTTATTTTTATTTGTGTTTAAAAATATCATGTTACAATTGTAAGGTTAAAATTGTCATGTATACAGACCTTAATATGTTCAACAATAGTATTTATCAAACAAACTTATTGTATTCAACACTTAATTTTTAGTTAATACCAAACAGTTTGTCAACTTAAAATTCAATACTTAATTATTCAGCACTTAAAATTCAGTAATAAATTTTTTGTTTTGTTTTATTAGTGACCTTTATTATTGTTATTATTATTGGTGTTGGACTGGACTGAAATCCATCCAATCCAATTCCTCTCTTTTTTGATCGGGCTGGGCTGACATCGAGGCCGCTCAAATGTTTTTTTTTTTTCCTGACTGGGCGGCCACAATCACAACAAAAAACCCTTTCCTTTCTTTTTGGATCAAACTACCTTTTTTACCCCCTCCTCCCAGCCGCCCACCCGTTCTCTCTCACTCTCTCTCTCCTTTCTTCTCCTCCTCCTCCTTCTTCCCTTTTTCTTCTCGAATCACTCTCACCAAGGACGAACCAGTTCTCTCTCTTACTCTCCCCTTCTCTTTTTTCTCCTTCTTTTCTTCTTCTTCCTCTTTGCCAAAACCTCTGCCCCCCCCCCCCCCCCTTTTCTTCTTCTTCTTCCTTTCTCACTCCTCCCGAACCTTCCATGGACGAACCAGAACTGGTTCGTCCATGCTCTCTCTCTTCTTTCCTTCCTTTCTCTTCCTTCTCCAACCAAAAACCCCTAAATCAATTTTTCAAAATTCTCCCCTAATTTTGGCCGAACCCTAACTTTTCAATTCTTCAAAACTTTCTTTCAATTGGCCTTAATTGGCTTGATTTCGCTTCAAATCAAGCCAATTCCAAGCTATTAGGAACCAATTTCTTGAAAACCCCAAATGCAATTTTTTTTGAAAAATTTTCAGCAACTCTAGGTTTCAATTGACATCAATTCGGCTTCAATTTGGGGTTTAACTCCAAATTAAAACTCCAATTGACTTGACATTACGTCACATCGTTTTTCAAGTTCAGGACAACCTCCGATGGACAAATCTAGGAGAGCATCTGGCAAATTCTTGATGCCATGGCAATCTGAGATTGTCAAAGATCGAAGTGAGCCGAGAGATCAGGTGTCCTTGAGTTTTGAATGGTGAACTGAGCAAATAACACCTCAAGGATTTTTTTTCTTCCCATATTTCTATCTCTTTTCCTCTTAAGATTCCTTCTTCCATCTTGCCTCTCTGCTCTTTCCTGGTTGTTGAAGCACCTACTTCTCAACTTTCGGAGTACATGGTGGACCAAACCTCATGGAAGACTTTGACTGCTGTCAACCATACCTCATCATCAGTAGTATATCCATTTGAATCTAACATGGAAATTATTGGTTTTTTTTTTTAATACAAAAAAAAAAATCAATGAAAATTAAATCTATTTTCCAAACGAGCCTAAAACATACCCTTCTTTATGTAGTTCAAAGATTTAAATAAATTTTCTTATATCTTGTTACATAATTCGAACTCAAAAAAAAAAAAATCTTCTAAACCAATAAATCAATGTTGATCATGACTCGAAAGCATATATTAAGTTTCCTTTTCATCTAAAATGCAATTTATGTTATATTTATTTAGTATTTTTTTTATCAATTCATACATCTACCTTTTGGTGTTAACAAAATAAAGAAAAATATTTTTTTACCTCATTTTTTGTAGCCTAACCAAAATAAGTTCTGGAATAATTTTTCTTAAAATCATTTCATTTCCTGTAAGGAAATAGAAATACAAATTATTTTAATTCAAACGTGTGACATGGTGAAATTTGATGACGAGAAAGCTGGGTCGGTAAGCTGGGTCTTGGTGAGTCCAAATTGAAAAGCTACTTTAAAACTCCACAAACTTGATTGACTGACGGTGATTGTGAAGCTATCACAGCCTGTTTTCGAGGTGGAAATTCACTCTCATTGTGCGTTCTAGCAACCTTTTCTTCAAAAGCTAGCAAAAGTACCAAAACTATTATCTATTATCAAAAAAATCAAACTGTTAATTATATTTTATTATTATACTCATAATTGTAATTTTAATTTCTTTCTATCCAATTTCTTTCTCTTATTTATATTTAAATGAAGAGTAAATATGCCATATAATAATCAAAGTATTTCATATGTTTCTATATTTCTAACTACATTTCATTTATTTTTGAAAAATTTTAAAATGTTTAATTTATCATTTCTTTCAAACTTTTCAATCATAAATTTTTTTATCGAAATATTCTTTACTAAAATATTTAAAAAATTAAAAAACACTTAAAATCATATGACCTATATATTCTATTTTGAAAGTTTATATATATATATATATATATTTCAATCGAAGTATTTCGATTAAAAAAATTTATTTGGTTAAAAAAATTAATCGAAAGGATAAAATATTGAATACGTTAAATGCTTTGAGTGATAAATAAGATGTAATTAGAAATTTATGAATATATATATGATTTTAAGTATTATATAAGAACATATATTCATATTTATTTTTTTAAAAAGATAATATTATAAAATTAAATAAGTAACATAATATGCAATTAATTGTAGTTTTAGGCGTGAAAAGCCAAAATAAGACTAAAATTTTAGAACAAAAGTAGCATATCATGATCCCAATCATTTAGCTTTTCATTAGATTTTTATGGTTCATCTCTATCCGATTGTTCATACCATAAGACAAGAAGTCTTCAGGCTTTTTTTATGATGTAACCACATCTCTGATTGGCTAGTCAAAAATAAAAAAATATAAATCGAGAAAGTTTAATTAGAGAACGAATATTCCAGACAATGGATGGCCCAATGCTTTTCTCTTTTTAATTTATTAATTATGTTTCAAGAACAATTAATAAACTTTTTTTCTCCTCTTCAAGGCCACTTTCAATTTGAAGAGAAACTTAAATATTGTAGGAACATAACCATCTCAATTTAAAAATTTAAACCGTTATATAAAATTTTATGTTTCTAATATAATTCAAATCATATTTTCAAACTTTGATCAATCATTTTCATTTCAGTCTTAGTGTAACAAAATAAATCAAACAGAATCTAAGACATAATACTCACTATGCAGTCTTAGTGTATCAAACAGGATCTGACACATTATTCTCACTAACTGCCGAAATAAAGAGATGTCATGGTGATAACTGATTCTTTTTTGGCAAAGAATTTTAGATTTTGAACGATCCATGTGCATGATCGACCAGCAACAGAAAAAATCAAAAGTTAGTCAATATGATCGAGAGACACTCAGGCTGCTAGCATCACTCCGACTAGCATAAATACTGATCACTACACTTCTACTTTCAAACCGAAAAAACCTACCAAAAATTTCTTAAAAATAATAATAATAATAATAAAAATTTCTCACCACTTTTTATTTACTGAAAATGGAGTATGAGGATCAAGTGGCAATGGAAAAACTGTTGTCCAGAAGTGATGCAACAAATAAGCGATTTGATTTTCCGACGAAAAGCCTGAAGAACTTCCCCATGCCTGCGGGTCAAAATTATTTAAATCTTGTTGCTTTGGACATGCTAGGCCAGCCACGGGAACTCAAGATCTCTGTTCGCAAAGAGGGAATACATAAGAAACCTTGGATGTCTGGCCGATGGCGGCGGTATGTTCTAGAGAAGGGGCTGAAGAAAGGAGATAGAGTTAAGTTGACTATGCAAGTGCGAGAGAACGGTGTCAGGAGTTATCGTATCAAAGCTGAAAGAAACCTGACGATGGGCATATGGATTCCAATCGAAGAGTACTGGCAAGCAAGAAATGGAAAAGATTAAGGGGTGCTGTATGCCCTCTTTATGGAAGTTAAAGTTAAACAAGTTGTCCCTTCTAGAATTGTTGCTTCTTTCTGCCTTGATGTTCAGTCTTGTTGTTGTAACTTTAGTTGCCAAGTGGTTTTGTACCTTGTACTTTTGTAATCCCAGCTAGCATGGTCTTGTTCTACTTCCTGCTACCAACATGGTTGGTTCTTGTGTATTAATTTCTGGTTTTTCTTAATAAAATAGGTATGCTAGTGTGAGTTTTTTAGCTTGTAATTTTATCCTTGTGGGTTCAAATAAAATATAATTTGGTTTCTTTGTTTTTAACTTTTTATAAGCTATGGACGAAAGTTATTAATCATAAGAGAGACTCCAGTAGAACAAAAAGAAAAGCGAAATATCAGTACAAACTGCCACTGTTTCTAGACTTGGAAAAAGTTTCAACGTCAAATCATGATCTTGTAATTTCTCGTAACAGTTAACATCCAGCTACTTAAAATTCTATTTGGTCTATATTAGAAACTAATATTTATGTCCTTGTCGAACCATTAAAAATTTTAAATTAAAATAATTATTTAATAATTTTGATCAAATGATTATGAATTTGAATTTCAATAATTTCATTTTCTAAAACCTCATTATTCTTATTAAAACTAAATAATTCAATACAAGTTAATAGTGAGTTTCAAATCAGTTTTAAAGAATTTTTATCTAAAAATACATATTAAAAAATAATATAAATTATTTATTATTATTTTTTATTAAAATTAAATAATTTAGCACAAAGTAACGGTGGGTTTCAAACTACTTTTAGATTCAAAGAATTTTCAAGCGAAAGATATAATAAAAATTAATATAAATCATATATTTAGATTTTATCCAACAGTTTAATAGTTTAGATTAAACTGATTGCTGTACAATCATTGACGTTTATCCTTTTCTTTTTGGATAAAACGAGGGGAGATCATCAATATTATTAAAGAACAAGTCAAAGATAAAGATCATTAGAGCACCTAATTAATTCAGCAATGTCCCTCTCATCCCTATTCAATTGGTAAAGAAAAAAAAGTTCATTAGAGTACTGAATCAGCAGGTTACGCAAGCAATAATTAAGGTTAGTGCATGCTTAGGAAGGCCGACACTTTTATTCCCATTAAGTAGTTCATTAGCTAGTGGGACATCGCTTCGCGCAAGTCCACATATAAAATTATATTTCACTAATTTAATGGCAATTGAGATAAATATATAAAAAATAAAGGCAACTTAAATTTTGGAGTGAAATTTTCATTACATTCCTAAGTTTTTAGAGCAAATTAAGTTGATACAGTCAAAATATGATGAATCCAACCAAAACTTGGTCGGATAAAAAAAAAGATTTTTTTTTAAATTTTTTAGTTAAAAAAATCTTATGTATTAACAAAGTATCAAAGGACTATTTCACCAAAAAGCTTAAACTATTAGGTGAGACTCCAAGATATGATTTATATTATTCGCTAACACACTCCTCAAGTGAAAACTCTTTGGACTTGAAACTTGCACAAGCCCACACTACCTTGTGCTTAATTAATTAGAAGAAAAAATGAGAGTGATAGGATTCGAACTCGCAATCATTTGATCATTAAGGCTCTAATACCATATCAAATGACTATCTCACCCAAAAGGCTAAGCTATTAGGTGAAATCCTAAGATATGATTTATATTATTCTCTAATACAAAGTGACCTACGGATACTTCATGCTAAAAGCTGAATTTGAAATTTTCATTACATTCCTAATTTTTTAGAGCAAATTAAGTTGATACGGTTAAAATATGACGAATCCAATCAAAACTTGGTCAAATAAAAAAAATAGAAAAATTTTAAATTTTTACTTAAGAAAAAATCTTATGTATTAACAAAGTATCAAAGGATCATCTTACCCAAAAGCTTAAGCTATCGGGTGAGACCACTAAGATATGATTTATATTATTCTCTAATATACCCCTCAAGTGAAATCCCTTTGGACTTGAAACTTGTACAAGCCCACACTACCTTGTGCTTAATTAATTAGAAGAAAAAGTAGGAGTGGTAAGATTCGCACCCCTAATCATTTGATCATTAAGGCTCTAATACCATGTCAAAAGACTATCTCACCCAAAAAGCTAAGCTATTAGGTAAGGTCCTAAGATATGATTTATATTATTCTTTAATACAAAGTGACCTATGGATACTTCATGCTAAAAACTGAATTTAGGTTCAGCCAAGGTTATTAAATTCTAGAATTCTCATTGCAACCATAGAATACTTTTTCTAAAACTTCCTTACATATGAACAATGCGTCAACGGAAAAACATAGTCAAAGTATTGTTCTTTGTTAGGCAAACATCACATATGTTTGTGTCGGACGAGAGGAATTTTAGAGGAGAAATATTTGTAATACTCACATCACTCACATGCTTTTAAATGCACTCCAAATGCAAAGGGTATATATAGGTACTCCAAACTCTAGTTACATGAATTATAATTAAATCCTATTCATGAACCATAACAAATACTAAGTAGATGAAGTATCACATACAAAGCACCTATATTCTCAATGAAGTTAGCCATTTAAAAAACACCAAAAGACATGTATCTAGTCATAAGAGAAATCAAAAAAATTCAAATTATTTAATTTCAACACTCCTCAATTTGAAATTTTCTTCTTCACTCCAAGTCTTGCTCTTAATCTTCAAGAATCTTCAAATTTGAGAGACTTTGTTAAAATATCAATACTTTGATAATGAGTCTTCACATATTTAAGCTCTACTTCTTTATTGGCAATGCTATCTCTAATGAAACGATACCTTGTGTCTATATGCTTGCTTCGTCATGAAACACTAAATTCTTAGCAAGTGCTTTGTAGATTTGTTGTCAATATAAATTTTTGTAGCTTCTTCTTATGACAAATACGAGTTCCTTTAATAATCTTTTTAGCCAAATAACATGACAAGTACAAGTAATTGCTGCCACATATTTATATTCACAAGTTGAAAGTGTAATAATGGGTTGCTTCTTTAAACTCCATGAAATAGCATAATCACCCAAGAAAAATATAAATCCATTAGTACTCTTTCTACAATCAATATCTCCTGCATAATCATTATCACAAAATCCCACAAACTTGAAATTATTAGAAGAAGAATAAAATAGCCCAAAGTCAAGTGTACTTGTAATGAAGAATTTTTTTAGCCTCTTTCATATGAATGGAGGTAGGAGCTTTCATGAAACGACTCACCACTCCAACCTAAAAAGAATATCGAGTCTTATACATGTCAAGTATGTCAAGCTTCCTACAAGACTTTTGAAAAGAGTGGGATCTTCTTTTTCTCCATCATTAAACTTCGACAATTTCACTCCAACTTCATGTGTGTGTTCATAGGATTACAATCAAACATTTTGAACTTCTTCAAAACTTCTTTGGCATAGCCTTCGAGAGATGAAGATACCTTTTTCCATTTGCTTCACTTTTAGGCCCAAACAGTATGACATGAGCCATATGCTTGGTCATCTTAAATTCAAGTGACATACCTTTTTGAATTCTTCAAATAGAATTGGATAGTTACCGGTGAAAACAAGATCATTGACATAAAGACAAAAAATCAAGATATCTCCATTCGCATGAATTTTAATATAAAGAGAATACTCATGAAGGCAAAAAACAAACTTATTGTCTTGAAATTACTTGTCAATGTAACTATTTCATGCCTTTGGTGCTTGTTTCGAACCATACAAAGCTTTTTTTAATCTCAAAATTTTATCTCCATGCCCTTTGACTACATAGCCCAATGGTTGCTCAATGTAGACCTTTTCTTCAAGTTAACCATTAAAGAAAATTAACTTCATATCAAGTTGATAAATTTTCCACTTCATTTAAGCTACCAATGAAATGAGCAAATGAATGGTCTCTATACATGCAACGAGTGCATAAACCTCTTTATAGTCCACTCCATGCTTTTTCCTTGTAACCTTTAGCAATGAGCCTTGTTTTATATCTCTCCATTTCTCCATCGGCATTCTTCTTTGTTTTGTACACCTATTTAACTCTAATGACCTCATAACCCTTGGGAAGAGTTGCTAATTCCCATGTATTATTCTTCTCAATTTCTTTGATCTCTTCATCCATTGCTTATTTCCACATATTATCTTTCATAGCTTCATCAAAGTTTAAAGGCTCACTATTTGTAAAGAGACAATGTAAGTCTTTAAGATCAAGAGTAACTTCTTAAGCATTTCTATAAATCTTTCTTATGTTTTTCATCTTTTGAGGCCATTCATTTGAGCTTTCTCCACGAAAATAAAAAAAAAGGTGAAAGAGGTGGTGAATGAGGTGGAGTTGTAGTTGAAGTTGTATATTGTATAGGCGCCTCTTCTTCTTCTTATCCAAAATATGGAAAAAAATAATAAAATTTTTTTCTTAGGCCTCTCAATTCCATGTTGCTTCTTCATCAAATTCAACATATCATCTCACCACCAACTTGTCATTGCTTGAGTTGTACAACTTGTAGCCTTTGGAATTTGAGTCATAGCCAATGAAGACATAAGTTATGTTGTGATCATCAAGCGTGGACTTTGCTTGGTGTGGTACGTGAATATATGCAATGCTCTTAAAGACTTTCAAATGTTTAACGTTAGGCCTTTATCCACTCCATGCTTTTTGAGGGGTTTGATCTTTAATATTTCTTATCAAAGAATAGTTGGATAAATAAATTGCACAAGAAACGGTTTTTGCTCAAAAATCCTTGGGCATATTTTTTGCTTTTAACATTCATCGTGCCATCTAAAGAATTGCTCTATTCTTCCTCTCTGCTGAACCATTAAGTTGTGGGGATCTAGGAACCGTTAAAGGATAACGGATCCCATAAGTTTCATAAAATTTATTGAATTCTTTTGAAGTGAATTCGCCTCCTCTATCGGACTTCAAGGCTTTAATTTTGTAGCCACTCTCCTTTTCAACAAGAGCCTCGAATTTTTTTAATGCAATAAAAGCTTTTGATTTCGTTTTAAGAAAAAACCCAAGTCTTTGAACTAACATCATTAATAAAGAAAAAAAAGTACTTACTTTTACCAAGTGAATGTGGATTTATAGGTCCTCACACATCGGTATGAATAAGTTGAAGTGGCTTAGTTGCTCTTGAAGTGGCTTCTCTTGGAAAACTCCTTCTAGCATGTTTGCCAAGAAGACACGCTTCACACAATTGATTAGGATGGTTGATTAAAGGCATCCCGTTCACCATCTTTTTTCTCCCATGACTTTAAGTGCTTTAAAATTCAAATGGCCAAATCTCATATGCCAACACCATGATTTATCTTTTGTAGTAGCCTTTAAATATTTTGCTTCAATTATTTTGAAATTTAACATAAATATTCTATTTCTTGACATAAACACTCGAACAATCAAATTGACATTTAGATCTTTAAGCCAAAGACACATATCTTTCATGAGAATTTCAGAGCCCTTTTCAAGAAATTGGCCCAAACTCAAAATATTACTTTTTAATTTAGGCATATAATAAACTTTGGTCGTTAGTTTATGGTTACCATCTTTGGAAGAAATCAAAATTGTACCTTCCTTTTAATTAGAATTTAGGAGAAGTCTCCAAATGACAACTTGCTTTTCATCTTTTCATTAAGCTCTACAAAATTCTTTTTGCTTCCACAAATGTGATTGTTTGCTTCATTGTCCAAATACCATGGACTATTGGCATCCATTACTTCCTTTTTAAGTGCTAACAATAAAGTTGACTCCTCAATTTCTTACTTGTCATTATCAACAAGATTAACCTTCTCTTTAACCTTTTTATCAACACTATGACACTCCTAAGAATAATGGCCAAAGTTATGATAATTGAAGCATTAATATTTGACTTATCATACCTTCTCTCATTTGATCTTTCATAGTAGCCACGTCCTCTTCCTCTTACTCCTTCATAACCTCCGAGTGATGAACGACCTTTCTCCTTATTATATGAATTGTTACCATTATCTCTTCCTCTTTAGCTGACCACATCCTCTTCCTTGTCCATGTCCTTTTTTGCTATTTTCTCCCTTATCATCCTTCAAAAAAGCCTTGGCTTTGAGAACTTGCTCTAAAGACTCTTCTTGTCGCCTTTTGAACTTCTCTTCATGGGTTTGGAAAGAAGCCTCTAATTCTTCAATTGTCATAA